AGCTTCGGCAGTTACAGACAATTTAGCACTGATACTCCTGCTAGATACAATAGATTTGTCAGTCGAAACATTGCTAGTTGATTCTAAACATGCCGGTTTCGATCCTGTTAGTCGCCTATTTGTCATAAGAGCTGTATTGCGACACATATTGCAATATGTATTGGGGCACAAAAAATCTTTTATTGATATATATTAGTACTGTTCAAATGACTCAACTTGTCAATCCAGGAATCCAGTCCAAAATGCCTCAAAATAGTAGATATAATTTATATTATTATGTATCAATTCTTCTGTGACTGCATCGGAAAATATTGATACACAAGGGTTGTATCACGATAAGTCTATTACTGACAGCCGTATTGCACTATACAGGTACACCGGTTACATCCCACATCCCACGTCGTACCTATATTGTAATAGTATCCAATGTTATTTAAATCTGAATTTTTACTCCAATAGGACTCCTCCCTGCCTGAAGAAGTGACAAACCTTCCCTTGGCTATCACACTACTGGAGGATGCCACATCATGGGAACCCAGAGCGAAAGTTGACTGACCAATCTAAATGATAGATGCGTGGGTTCTTGAGCCAATCAGATGACAGCTTTTCTAAATTTTCAGCTTCATTTTTTTAACACACTGATCAGGAAATTTATACTTCAACAAAAGGAAACCAACAAGACACACAAACATATTCCATCAATTCCTTTTCCTCTTGGTGTACATGCAATGGAAATATCCAAATAAGTATGTTTTTGTGCAGCCTTTATTATTTCCATTCAGAACTGCCTATTTAAATTCATTTTTGCAACAGAAGTCAGATATGCTGGTCTTAATGCTTTCCTCTCTTGTACTGAGAATTTAGAAACCGTGTCACAAATTGGCTGATAGAAAAGTTCACCTGACGTGACCTCCTAGGGATGGTTTGTTAGATCCGCACGCAGAGAGGTATCGTACCTAAGTGAAAAGATCTGATTCTAATGAGATTGCAATGGTATCACGAAAGTGTTTTAACTATCACAACACCTCTAAAATAGTAAAATTGCCCTCAATAATCACCACTAATTACTACCAGTAATAAAAAGGACTTATTTTCACTCAACTTTCCAGATATACGTTGGATGTCACCAGTTAAGGTATATCTGCCAATGACAACATAAAGACAATATGACAGAGATCCATCATATTACATCCATCATCAAGTTGCCATTAAATAATTAACATAGAACTTAACTCATGCTGTAGGCTAATATCAATGTGATTTTTTTGGCAAACTGCCTTTTAAATATATAAAAGAAAGGAGGCAGAGAGTCTCCTTAGATTCAGACCTGCCAAAGTACTGTAGATTTGCTTGGCAGTTTCAGTTGTTTTCGTCACAGTGTCTGTACAAGAAAATTCATTCAGCTCAAAGGAAGACACTATATTGTTTGTCATTTCAGTTTTCCAAAGCAGTGTCTGAAATAGCTGCCATTGCTATCCTGTAGCTGGTAACATCAGGATAGGTGAATATTTATTCCTACCTGTGAATATTTATTTCTACCTGCCAGTCTTGGAGTGAGTGAGTATGGTTTTACGCCGCTTTTAGCAATATTCCAGCAATATCACGGCGGGGGACACCAGAAATGGGCTTCACACATCATACCCATGTCGGGAATCGAACCCGGGTCTTCGGCGTGACGAGCGAACGCTTTAACCACTAGGCTACCCAACCGCCCCGCCAGTCTTGGAGAAAACATCATCACTTATTATTGAATTCCATGTATTTTGACAGTCAGTGCAGATTTAATGTAAAGTAAACCTTGCTTTACAGCAAATCGCAACTGAATTTCACTTCGTGTTAGCCTGTTTGTCAGATTCCATGTTTCTGATCATTTAAAGTTGCATCTGTCATAAGCAGTGTCGTGAATGTAAAAGTTACTGCAAAACATTCTGGGGCATAGTGAGTGAGTGAGTATTGTTTTACATCGCTTTTAGCAATATTCCAGCAATATCACGGCAGGGGACACCAAAAATGGGCTTATCACATTGTACCCATGTCGGGAATCGAACCCGGGTCTTCAGCGTGACGAGCGAACGCTTTAACCACTAGGCTACCCGACCGCCCTCTGGAGCATAGAGATTAGTGATGTCATTTGAATGTGACATCACTGTAAAAAATGACATCACAATTTATTGCAGCTAGCCATATCTCCAGTTTGGGATAATAAATTCCTATTCAGTATACCCATTGTAAAGTCTATTCTTTTTTTCAGGATTATAAATAATAAACGAGTGACAACTTTGATGCATCACTTGGTGTACTGTTCAAGCGTGTCAGTGGGACAGCCATATAACTACTCCAGCTACATTCATGTATAATTGATGTTTCTGTTTAATTCTAAAGCCATAGGAGGTGATTTGGATTGCAAGGCATTAAGAGTCAATAAAATTCTCTCTGCCAAAACAAGTAATAAATATTGAATTTTTAAAGAACATTCAATAGAACACAATATGAATATCTGTGTCTGCCTACACATAATTATCTTTCTCCAACAGATCACAAATAATGGACGATATTGTTTGTTTATTTGTTGATTAACGCCACATTCAGCAATATTCCAGGTATATGACGGCGATCTGTCAATAATCGAGCCTGGACCAGACAATCCAGAGATTGACATCATGAGCATCGATCTATGCAATTGCGGTACGATGACATCAACCATGTCAGCGAGCCTGACCACCTGATCCCGTTAGTTGCCTATTATCGAAAGCATAGTCGCCTTTTACGGCAAGCATGGCATGGGTTGCTGAAGACCTATTCTATCCCGGATCTTCAGAGGTGGATGATATATTTTTCATGAATTACTGATGCCTCATACAGGGTGCTTGCTTGTCGCTTGTCGCAATAGTGTTTACAATCCAGAAATACTCATGTTTGTAAAGAGCTTCAGATTTATTTGAATAACACTGGACCTTCCAGAAAAGCAGGGTCATCTTCTTGAGGTAAGGGAGTTAACTGACTTAAAGTTTCCACCCTTGCCAAACTAACCTGGAATTGTGGAGTAATATTTTGGCTAGAGAAACGTGTAACGATATCAACATCCGGTTCAGTGCAGATTTTGGTCGATTGCAGGATTTGCAAAGCACTTGGCGCCAACAGATATTTTCCAAATCTTTTAATTGTTTTTAATTAAGGAGCTCAAGTGATTTATTGCACTTCGCAAAGGAAAATTCGTTTTATCACAATATAGCTTTTGATTATCAATCAAATCGTCTTGACTAGGTGCCGCCATTTTGTTTTGAGGCAAATGCAAGTGACATGAGAGGAGGAATCTCATTGGTCAATAGGAGGGACATAGAAGAGACATGGTCATAATAGCCACTGGTCAGCCAAGACATCCCAACGTGGAAACTGGACTTTTACAGTTAGTTAACTGCCTCGCCTTGGGAAGAAGTTTTTAAGATTGCAATAACATAGGCCTTTGTGAAATCTGTAGTAATGTATGTATGTAAAATAATACACTTGAATAAAAATTATATATCATGTTCTGTATATGGCCTGAAGATGCTCGTTAGAACTGAAAGTGTTTGCCTATAAACAGATTTAATTTAGCTCAAAGTTTGTTTTTATCATATATATTAAAATAAAGGAAATATCTAAAAATACTCTACTTTATATGCAAAGTACTGTTATTTTTTTCTCTATTTATTATATGTGTGTGTGTGATTTAATTATCTCCAATTTATCTTCTCCATTCACCCTATCCCCTTTCTGACCCTATTCCCCCCACCCCTACAAACCCCCCTTCCTATCAACACCCCTTCCTTTCAGGAAATACTTTTTCCAATGACTAAAGCCACAGCCTTTAGTTCCAGTGATCCTTAATAATGGAAGTACCAAAGAAATAATCTGTATAAAAGATTAAAATAACAGGTAATTCTGTTGGAAACAGAACAGTTCATTCAAATGAGTTATTGATTTTCAGGAACTGAATATCGCTTGGTGTTGTGCGCTGTGGTCCCAAAGTGAACGAAAAAGCGAAATTAGGACATGTTTGTATATATATCCGGGCGTGGTCGGCATACCGGCACTTGCTTGTTTCATTCATTTCGTAATGCTACGAAATTACCCTGATTATCTTTCCCTGGCTGTAAACGACTTATACCATCATACTATTTTCCGGCGACCAACTTACGTTTTAAGCCTGAACTGTATTAGAAACTCGGAAATAGAACAAATTCTTGTGCCGGCGAAAATAACCCACGTTCATGCGCGACTGTCCGGAGGTAACTCGCATCGCCAAAAAATTTCCCGATAAGAATCGGGTTATGTATTTTAGCTCGGCGTTATTTCAATTGACAGCCGCGACCTACAACTGTACGTGAGAGTATTCACGCTTGCACCGTGTACTCGCTGTCATTCGCAAGTAAACAGTTATCGATTATTGTTTCAGCGGAGAAAAGGAAAACGATCGACCCATTTAACGTTAATCAGCTACGCACACGTGTAAAAAGGCTGGGCCCTTCCTGTGGCAGTATATATATATCGGTTTGTTATCAAAGATGTGTTTCCTTTCAGAGAACACGGATGAATAACAACTGTTCTACGTTGAAATATACGATATGTCGTTGAAATGATAAGTTAAAACACAACACCGGAGCGCCGGCGCTGAAATTCCATCAGTGAATGAGTGAGTGTCCCGTATCCCAGTCATCGAAATGCGTTTCGCAGTCTGTCCGTCACCAAAAAAAAATAATTGTTTTGGCTAAAGTTTATATTAACATATAAAATATCAATATTAATTCAGCTGAAAAACGCGTTTACATTATTACAAAATAGTATGACCATATCAATATCTGCAATGCACTAAAACCTAAAATCATTAAAGGCGCGCAACATCATTTAAAGAAATAATAGAAAATTAAACTTAACCCGTCCATGAAAAGGAAGTAAATATCATAAAGTAGAATAAAAGAATTTATCATGATAACACCTTAAAAATTGTAAGTAGAACCGACCTTTTTAAAGCCAAGGTTCTTGTTTTTCGGGGGCCGTCCTCTCCTTGACGGAGTGCCGGCGATTTGTTTAACATCCAAAGTTTTAGGCCTCGTCACTTTATGCCCAGATGATGGTAAAGAAAAATTCCCATTCTGTAATTTTTCAATCCTTCCTGCATCAATTTCCCTCTGAAGCACAATATTAATTGGACTTTTCAGTGGCACTTCGTCGTCAAAATTCGATTGCAGCCAGTTTTTAATGTCACGTATACTTATCCCGAACCGTTCCGTTTCCTGATTCTGAGTGGGTTGGCTATGACTGAGTTCAGTGATCGCATCGTGAAGTCTTTTGCTAGCTGTGCTGGAATTCAAAACAACCCCTCCTAAATGACTCTTCTTCCATTTGGCCCCATTTCTATAGCTCGTGTTGCCTTTATAGTCTACTTTTATCACTATTTCTGAGTCAACCAGCTTTTCTAGTTGCGCTTCCGTCTCTCGTGAACTCAGCCCGTGTTTTCGTTCTACCATGTGGCAAATGCGCTCGAGGTCCGGCCGAGCTTTTCTCTTCCGCAGCTGATCAATCGTCTCTAGAATCCAGTCCCGGTATTTCGGGTTAGCCATACTTGTTTCTTCTACCGTAACACCACCCTTGTCATGCCTTACGAGCCGGGTAAACGTCAAAATCCTGCATTGAAGAAAGTTAGGGCCTACCGAGAAATGCGACCTAGGACATCGCTTTCGTCCAGTGCGCATGTGCAGCTGCGCTCAAAGTTGCATTATGGGATAGGTCAGACGCTTTGTCAGAGAAATGCGTCAATGCACAACGCGACTGTCCGCACGTCTTTTATGTTCAATATAGCGGTGAAAATGCTACTGCAGGCGCATATTGCTAGGATATATCCTATATTAACATGTGGTATTCTACATATATCGCTACAGAGTCAGTCGTCGTGTTATATACGTGTATTTTATCACGAAACACGTCTGCCACTTCACCCCACTATACGGCTCAGACACCATATATACGTTTTGTAGGTTAAATTGATAAATACTTTACTATTGATTCGAACTTTCGATTGAAACAAACCAATCATTATGTACCTTGTGACAAAAAGTGGGTTACAAATACAGATCTAGAACAGATACATAGTGCGGAGTTGTAATTTGTGAAGCTGCCTCTGCGTCGGTTGTATAGCTTACCTATGCTCATGCAGTAATCTACAACGGCAGGAGTTACTCGTATTAAACATGACATACATAATCTCCCTGACGTGACAGATGGTTAATCGGTTGAAATACCACGAACAGCTACATAACCTATACATGTTTATAAAAATGGTTTATTCATTTTCATGGGGAACTCCCCCCTTGTAAATAATAAAACAAAACAAAAGAGCTATATATAGGTATAAGCCTAAATGAATATTTCACTTAGTACAAAATAATGTTGCGTATTGTTTTTAATCCTACACTTATGCGTATGCCAAACAACACTCCAGGCGCTCTCCTACCGTAAAGCTCCTATTTATTTTTCTTCAATAATATTGTTTTTTGTGTTAAGTCTTACCAGAGATTAACCAATTTGACCATTCAATCTCTCATCGCATATTTAAAAGTAATCATTTGATCAATGATAAAATAAGAATGTTTAAAGGGGAGTAGCTATAATTATTATCATCTGCGCGGCCAAATGCGATCCTTGCAAATGGTGAGAATGCATGCAATATGAATAATATATATTGGTTGTATACTCCCCAGGGAGATAAAGGGATAATATATATTGGTTGTATACTCCCCAGGGAGATATATGGATAATATATATTGGTTTCATACTCCCCAGGGAGATATGTGGATAACAAATATTGGCTGTATACTCCCCAGGGAGATATATGGATAATATGTATTGGTTGTTTACTCCCCAGGGAGATATATGGACAATATATATTGGCTGTATACTCCCCATGGAGATGTGAATTAAAATCGAGTTCACACTGATCCATTGCCCGGGGTAATAATTATCAAATTACGAATATCATATTATATTTTATAGCTAAAATGGATAGACTTATCATTAAAACGCCCGCATGTTATCAAAAATGAGCGGGCCACTGTAACTTGATAATGCCCTCATATTTCTTGACGACGGGCCATTATCACGCCCGTTGTTAGGTGACGTCATAGGATAGGGATAGGTGACGTCACGTTCAATAATGACGTCATCTGGTTTGTTCTATGACGAAAGCGATGTCCTAGGTCGCATTTCTCGGTAGGCCCTAACTTTCTTCAATGCAGGATTTTGACGTTTACCCGGCTCGTAAGGCATGACAAGGGTGGTGTTACGGTAGAAGAAACAAGTATGGCTAACCCGAAATACCAAATTATTTTGTTTACTCCCCAGGGAGATATATGGACAATATATATTGGCTGTATACTCCCCATGGAGATGTGAATTAAAATCGAGTTCACACTGATCCATTGCCCGGGGTAATAATTATCAAATTACGAATATCATATTATATTTTATAGCTAAAATGGATAGACTTATCATTAAAACGCCCGCATGTTATCAAAAATGAGCGGGCCACTGTAACTTGATAATGCCCTCATATTTCTTGACGACGGGCCATTATCACGCCCGTTGTTAGGTGACGTCATAGGATAGGGATAGGTGACGTCACGTTCAATAATGACGTCATCTGGTTTGTTCTATGACGCTTCCATATTTGTAAAAGTGGGTCAGTAAGTGATTGCAGTAAATGTTTGAAAACCGATATTGTTGTTTCTTTTTATTTGATAACAAATTCCATCCATTTTAGCTATAATAACAGAACGCTTTTTTTCAGGGCATTATCATTTGCAGAAGCCCTCGGTCTTTTCAACTGCCCTCCTTCGTCGGCAGTTAATGGAAGACCTCTGGCTTCTGCAAATGATAATGTCCTGAAAAATAGCGTTACCCTCATAATATAACAGTTTATTGACGCATAAACAACTAAACGCGCGTCTGTTTATTCACGTTTGTCGTGCTGTACACGCATGTGCACGCGTATATGTTGTGGGTGTTTGTTTATTGCAATTTCAGTATTACAAGGTGGTAAAATGGTACATTATAATACAATGTTTTCCATGGCAACATGTTATTGCAAATACGTACACGCGAAAGCACAGATACACCATGCCATCATATTCCATGTGCACGGGAACATACAATGGAACAAAGTGGGTATTTCGCGGGTTAGAATATAGGGTGCAAACAACCAATGCCGGTTGTAAGTGATATATGTTGTATGTGAGTGAGTTGGGTTTATCGCCGCTTTGAACATGCAGTATTCCAGTTACATCACATCGTGTCAGTTTAATGTGTGAGGAAAGCCTGAAATGAAGCATGTCTCAGACGTTTACCATGCATTTAAGTGAACACAGGTATGGTGCTGACAAACTTAAAACATTATCGTGGCGAAACGGGATTCGAACCCATAATCACAGGTTTCCAGCGTGCCCAGTGGGCGAAACTCTGCACAGCGAATTGCGGCGCCTTAGACGACTGGCCATGGGTCACTGTGTTCCACATCAGGTCGTGAGAGGCGACCAAATGGATCGGGTGGTCAGCCTCGGGGGTTGGTTGCATGTCATCGTACCCCATCGGCGCGGATCGTTGATCACAATATCAATCACGGGATTGTCTGGTCCAGATACGATCATTTATAGGCCGCCGTCATATAGCTTGAGTATTGCTGAGTGCGGCTTAAACAACAAACAAACCTACATAAATCGGGCTAAAGATTTGCGGAGCTCATGAATCATCATCATCATCATCATTAAATTAACACATATTCTTCGTTGGTGGACATACACTGTGCACAGGTTTTCATCCAATCTCATTAGAATCAGATCTCTTAGTTCTCGCTACCGCTAAACAAAGATCTGAGGACATCCCATTAGGGGTCACGTCAGAACGACCTTTCATCCGACCAATCAAAGCGTCGCTTACCAGATCATGGACGTGGCAGTCGGAATGTGTTTTCTAATCATGCAACCACGAAAACGTTAACACGATGTATTCCGAACGACAGTTACGACCCGTACGACTGATTCCGTCTCTCGCTTCCTTGGGATATACATCTGAACGGAGGAGGCGTTGCACAGTACGTGGGAAGCACTGCCATACAATCTCAACCATATATTAGACTTTGCGGAATGTTCGTTTGTTCAGTTTTCAAAATTTTAATCGAGAACTGTGTCAACATATTTTTCAAGCGTAGTCTGAAATGGCAGTCGCAAGGTTGAAACGAGTGTCGCAAAGTTCGAGAAAGCTGCTTTCTAATTGGCTGATGTCGACTTCTTGTTAGTAATTTCAGTGGTCGGTCAAAGTTCGCGAAAGTTCGTTCTGGCGTGACCGGTAATGGGATGTCCTCAGATCTTTGTTTGGCGGCAGCGTGAACTTAGATCTGATTTTAATGAGATTGGTTTTCATCTAGTAAGTGTGCCCTACCAGAAAAAACACATTCAAATGAGGTTTTGCAAATATGTCTTAAGTCCCGTGGGTATTCCCCGAAAGAATATGTCCCCAAGTATTCGTCACCCCTCGGGGATCCTGGGGAAGAATATTACCCCAGTAACCAATGCATGTTCGTCACGTCTCGGGGATCCTGGGGAAGAATATTACCCCAGTAGCCCACGCATGTTCGTCACGTCTCGGGGATCCTGGGTCAGAATATTACCTCAGTACCCCATGCATGTTCGTCACATCTCGGGGATCCTGGGGAAGAATATTACCCCAGTACCCCATGTATGTCCGTCACCCCTCGGGGATCCCGGGGAGGAATATGACCCCAGTACCCCATGCATGTTCGTCACGCCTCGGGGATTATGGGGAAGAATATTACCCCAGTACCCCATGCATGTTCGTCAAGTCTCGGGGATAAAGCAAAGAGAAATACATTTATCATATAATGGGCAGGTTTCTCGGCAGAATAAAGCCAACGGATAAAAACGATATCCGTTGGGGTCATATGCGGATAGAGATGCAAATATCAAGGTCTCGTCCTCGTCATTCGGAGATCGAGTCAAAATTAACCATCGGGAATCTGGATAAACAACAGGGATAATTGCTATCATTATCAAAAGAACAGTCTAATATACTGAAAATCAGTGTCTAACTGTGACGTAGCTAAGGCATTTTATAAGTTTTGGCTACTTTGGAGGTATAAATTTCGAAACAATTTTGCGAGGGCGCGAGGCCTAGCCAAGCGGGATCAGTAGCAATATCTGTGCTTGTAGACCTCTGCGATTTGAAACCTTCTCCACAAATTAAAATAGTTGGATTTGGCCGAAATATGTTTAAATTGTTACCTTGTTTGGTTTTGTCGCTGTGTGTACATCTGACTACACTTCTTAACGTTATGACAGGACAGACCGACTGTCAACAACGTCTGACCGTGGCCGTGATGTCGCATAGACTAGGGTTAGAGTAGCTTCCCGCCACTGTATAAGAAACAGATTTCAGTTGGAACTATATTGGCTACTGTCACTTTCCGACTGACACATCACTAACCCTGTGACGTAATAAATATTAATGTGCGCATTCCAGGAAAACTCGCAATGTTTCGGTAATGTTTGTGAGAGAGGGAAAGCTATTTTGAGGCACAGAACTAAAGAATGACGTTATATGATAAAGAGGTTATCATGCTTGTGTGTTTGGGGATGGTAAATATCCTGTATTAGGAATAAACACCATGTATTTAGCTC